TAACATATTATTAAATAACTAGATAATTTTTTTTCTAATTATAAATCTGTCTGCATCCTATATCTATATAAATAAAAATTATTCCTTCATTTATCTATATATTTTAATTGGTTAATTTATTTTTGAAAATTTATTTAATGTTGATAGGAAATAACTAGATAATTAATAGAAAATAACTAAAACAATTTGCTGAACAAATCATCCTAGCAAAAACTTTACATTATTACATTGTTTGTTTTCTGTAAAATCAAAGTAAAACATGAATTTATAATTTTCAATAAAAAATTTCAATATGTTTTTTTTTTTCATCAAATCCAATCTAATTTAAGATTCATTTTGATGTTTGTATAATTACCCGGTTAGGTATCTCTCATATTTAAAAATTTCCTCTACATTATTTTATTTTCTGGATTTTCCCCTCCTATTATTTAAAATCAATTTCAAGTATTTAAATATCTTTAATAATGAAACTTACCAAGTTTTTTTTAATCATCTTTGGCAAATTTCTACATATGGTACTTCCTCCACCGTGGGGTTATTTTGATAAAGAAACTTAATTACAATATTATAGATTTACAATATTATGCTATTGCAAATAATGTCATAATCGTTTTATTACAAATTATTTTGAACCATTATTAATTATTTCAAGTAGGATTTTTAATTGTTCTACCTAATAATTTGACAATGCATAATAGTTTATCAAAAATAATAATATAATCAACTATAATAATTAATAAAATAATATTTAAATAACTGAGCTTTCTTGCAATTTTTGACTTTTTTTTTATAAATTGGAACCGGTGATTTTGAAATCGTCATCATGCCTGAATAATAATAATAAAACAAAATAACTCTTATGCTTTTACTACAGTACAGAATTAACAAATTCTATATTGATAGAGAACTCCATTTGAGTGTGTCACGACCCGATTCCATGGGCCGGACCGGCACTAGGGCCCAGGTAAGCTTAAGGCCTCCGAGGCCCGTAGTAAACCTGAAACACTAAAAATTTACTATAGTAAGCTTGAAACACTAAAAATTTACTATTTCAGTATAATTTTAAACAATTAGCCCATACTCATAGGAAAATAAACCTCAAGATTCTATTAAATCTCGGCCCAAATTTATCGGCTACAACATTCCATAGTTCGGGCTCAATTAACAATACGTCACATTTTTAATATGGGCTCACATAATTATATCATCTATATTAATACACGACTAATTATACACAAATTCTACAACTGAAGAGTCACTAACTACTTGGTATACATAGCTTTTTATACATATAATTACATAGTAAGATAATTTATGAAACTGGGAAAATTTTCTTCTAGCCCTGCGCGGCAAAGGAACAGTAGTTTAACGCTGAATTAAAAGAAGCGCTTAGCTTCCTAATAAAATTAAACAAGGGCGTGATGAGTGAGCCTTTACTGAGAAGAAGTAACACTTATTGCACAAACAGCACGCAGTTCACACAAAATGTTTAATATGGATCAATCTTAGTCATGCCGAGCTAGTTATAATGGTTAGCAGCCATCACACAAGAGATGGCATGAGTCACGCAGCACCCACATAAAACAGATATCACATTCAAGTTGAAGTGCGACCATCGAAAAACGGTGAGAATTAGTCAGTGGAGTCACCGGAAACCCGGAGTGAAGGGCGCCGTCGCTACCACAGTGGCTCATGCCTCTCACGTGGTGCACCAGGGGAGCCGAGTCCCGCAATACTGGGCCGAGCGCGGGTCTAAATCTCACTTGGACCAAGCCCTCTATATTGTGTTTTGCCCATTCTCTCGTCGCTCGTCTGTTTTTTTTTTTTTGAATACCAACAGGAGGGCAAACCCGTGTGCTCGGCATCCAATTTAGATTAAGTCGAAGGCGCGGTCACGAACAGGGAGGCCACCCTGCGGCGGGGCTGCCAATCAAAATGCTGAGAACGTCTGCAATCAAATCTAGACTGTCCGGTGCGCAACGACGAGAAGCCCACCTGTGGTCAACGGTAACGGTAGGTGCACACGGGGGCGCCGATCTCCCATATACCCGGCTAACGGTAATGGATCCATATAACGGTAATGGTATATAACGGCAACGGTAATCAGGATCCATATAACGGTAACGGTCTCACAAACACATGGTGACCCACTTCATCCCAATTCCACACAAACAAAGCATAGCTTTATCACAACACAACTAATCAAACATTTCAATTAAATGCAAACATATTGATCAGCTGAACATTGTAATGCAATGCACAATTAAACATCCATTCTCAAATGCAGCTAAATAATTAAATAAATAATATTAACAATAACAACAACGATAAAATAAACAAAACACAAACGATAAAATGATAAAATAATAATAAACAATGATAATGAATATGGTAAGTTGAAAGCACTTGTATTTATTATGTATCGAATTTGTTAAAAATTATCTTAAAAAAGCTTATTGTTATCGTTATCTAATTAGAAAGTTAGTCAAGGTTCTAGCTGACAATTTGCGGCAGCCCTCTCTACATGGACCATCTAATCTGTAGATAACATAGTATATTATATGGTTTAATCAAGTCAATACACACAGTCCACGTTGATTGCGGGCATCAAATCAATTACCCATCCTCCTTCCAAAACAGCCGACCAATATCAGAACGTCCAATGGTAATAGCAATCATTCTTTACTTCATATAATTATAACTAGCTTCAATAGCTAATTACCAAACAAATGAAGGCTTTAATACATATATAATCCAATAAAACTTATATCATTAAGTTAATTTCAATTGTTTTCAGTTGGTAGTTTCTTAGTATCTAACTATGATAGTATTCTTTAGCAAGCTTTCATTTCTTCATTCTTGCTTAAAGATATTAACCACATTTATATCTTTGTTAAATTTTATATTAGCCAATAAGAACAAATGCTTTAATTAACTATAATGTAATGAAAACATCTATTAAGTAATTCAACTCGTCCTTGTGTATATATATAATAGTATATAGTATCGAAATTCCTTAAGAAATTAGTGTTATCTAAATGTCCCTTTAATTTGCCAAAATGTTGTTGTTTCGAGTTCAAATAGGTCATTACTCAACCTAGCTCATAGTATTGATATAGTGAATCAAGTTCAGTGTCAAATTCAATTTAATTGACTAATGATTACTAAGTTTAGAATTTATCCGAAATAGGAATGGTCTTAGAACGTACCAGGATTCGAAAGTTGTGGGGTGATGAATTCCACGATCCTTGCGAAAGGAGAGGGAACATTCTGTCCCGGGTTGGCCGGGGTCGCCGGAGACCTTCGCGCGGAACGCGCCGCGGTCCACGGTGGCCCGGAAAAGTTGGATGCCACCGCCCAGAATTTGGAACGCCTGTCTTTCACACCGACCCCGGACGTGCAAATTTCATGCGAGGAGGTTCATTTTTTATGTCGGGTGTGGCGAGGTTGGCCCTGCCATTTGGCTGAAGTTAAGTCCGACATTACGCTTGTGTGCCGGCCATTAATGGTGTTTCGCCATTTCAAGCTTTGTAGTGCCGGGAATTAGATGGAGGAGAAACACTCATCAAGGGTAGAGGTGACTCGATTCGAGCGGCCTACCTTTTTGTGTTGACGTCGCCCGCGGATTGCTCGAGGTCGTCGCGGAATCGAAGGAAGGAGGAACTGTCGAGTGGGAGACAGTCCCGCGCGCTTCGCGTCACTGGAGGCTCTGTTAGTGTGGAAGGAGGTCGGAAAATGGACAAGGAGCTCTAGCGGAGACGATCGCCATCTCGCTCTCGTCGAGCGGTGGCCAGAAACGGAGGGAGAGGGTGGAGGGAGGCTGTCGCGTGACTGAAGAAGGAGAAGAGAAAGAAAGAAAAAAAAAGAAAGAAGAAAGGCGGTTTCTAGCAAACTCTAGGCCATTCCGGTTTGATTCAAACTGATTTGGTCCGATTTAGTGATTTGGTCTCATTTCATTTGATTTTCAAGTTTTTCACTCGATTTTCGGATTATTCGTGTGGTTCTCGACAAATTAAACCGATTTTCGGGTCTGGTTCAATTTATTTTAACTGTTCAGTTCAGTTTCATAATATTTTCTCCATTTACTCAATAATTATAAAATTATTTATAGAACAATATTTGATTTTAGGATAATTAATTTATATATATTCATAATAGGTTAAATTACGGGATTTCGTATTATTTCTCAAAAATTTTAGCTGTTTACGATTCAAAATTTCTTTTCGACATTTTATTTGGGCTTGGGCCCAACTCGTAAAATTTTGGGCTCAAATTAGAATTGCTCGATCCTACCTCGTAAATTTGGGTCAAATTAGAAATTGCTGCGATGCCCCAACGCGATACTATGCAAGAAATTCGGATTTTTGATTGAATAAAGGATTGCCAAGTTTTAAAAGAGAATGAAAAATGTCGGAGGTATTTCAGTTCAACGTTATTATCGTCAATTTACTATGAGATATGGGTTAGCGCTGATTAAATGATGTCTGTTATTCTAACTTTTTGCGTTTACATTTTTTAGTAATTTCCTTTGTATCTTTAGAAGCACAGAATAATAAGTCCTAAATTTATTCTTCATTCAATATGATTAGTATATGATATATATATATATAGTAGTATATAGTAGTATATATATATACATATTGGAAGACAATATATTGAAACATCCCATAATTTTATTTTCGAAACTTTTGAATTTTTAATATATATTTTTGACTCATGGGCCATAAATACTATATAATCTTAATCCGCATCCAAATTCGCGAGTTGGGCCTTAACCCAAAGTATAGTGTCGTGACACCTAATTGAGAATTTTCCAAACTTCTTGAGAATTATATTGGACGAAAAATATTAAATCAATTAAAATATATCAATCGGACCAGTAAAACCAAGTGGAAAACTCGAAAACCAAGCAAAAATCGAGCCAAATCTTTGAATTGAGCCAAACCGGTTCGAATCGAACCGGAATGGCCCAGAAATTCCAAAAACCTTTTTCTTCTTTTTTTTTCTTTCTTCTTCTTCCCTCTTGAGCGAGGCAGGCGCGCCCCTCTCCTCCTCTCGTTTTTCCGACGACCAGAGACCCGCCCCGTCGACTCCTCGCCGCAGCAGTCCGGCCTTCCTTTACCTTCTTTTCGTTTCCGTTTCTGGTGAGCGCAAAAGTCACAACGAAGCCGCGACTTCAGCCCGATCGAGACAGTCGCGTCTTCGTCCTTCTCTCCGAGCAACTCCGGCGACTATCGCCGACAAGGTAAGCCGATTATCCTCCCTCCTTGGCGACTATCGCCGACAAGGTAAGCCGATTATCCTCCCTCCTTACTCTTTTGCAAATTATTTTGTATAGAATAGGCGATTTATTGAAGGAATTGATCAAAATAGGACTTAGGGATTTAAGAATAAAAAATTGGGATTTCGTTAGATATTGACATAATTTGTAGTAGTTAGCTATAGAACTGAGTTTTATATGAAATTTGCTATGTTTAGGCGTAAGAGTTGCAAGATTCTGGAACCATGGTACCTCCGGCCACCGTAGACGGCGGAACAGCGGTGGCTCCAGTGACCGGAGTTTCCAATAGGCAGAACATTGCATTTTTCGTGTAGAGTCTGAATATATTATTAGTTTTACTATCTGACACCAATTAATATTGAACTGTGGATTGACGTATATTTAGAAATTAGGCTTCAGGCTCAAAAATCACGGAAAGTCGATAAACAAGAACTATACTATATTAGAAAGGTTTAATTAGCTAGTTAGCAAAGTAATTACATTTGGTTAGTATTCAAAATAAGTTATATGTATGAATTTGATAATAATTAGGATGTTTTATGGTATGAATTTGATAATAATTAGGAATGTTTTAGTTTTCTATGGAAGTTAATATTATAGGTTAATATTATAAGTGATATGTAAGTTCGGATGTTAATTAGAGGATTGAATTAGTAGTATTTTTGTTTTATTATATAAATTGTGTCTAAATCTGAAAATCTTTCGATCTTTTGTGAAATATTTAGTTTTTATATCCTTGTATAACACTTAGGTACTAATGATAAGAAGTTGATTAGTGAATTTGCTAGCCTGTGGACTATGAGTTTAAGCTGGAATTTATTAATTTTATTCTTAATTATTTCTTCAAATCATTGCTTGATATTGTACATAGGAGGTTGTAAGCGTAATTTTCGCAAGAAATTAGTTAGTTGGTGTGTAATTTAAGATTTTAGCATAGAAAAACTACGAATCTGTGTATTGGCAGCAGTTATCTTAAATTGTTGTAGAAGGACAAATATATATGAGCAGTGTATATTCAAATTTCTGGGTTGATAGATATATATGTAAACGCTTATTCATATTCGATAGACGATGATTCATGGATCATTAACCGGAATTGCGAGATCTAAATTAATAAGAAGGGAATGGAAGAGTTGGTAAATTATAGTTGTATATAATTATTAAAGGTATATATATATAATATTATTAGTATATATATATATAATTATATATATATATATAATATGTTCACTGAGAATAGGATGTATATATATATATAGTTACACTAGAAGGATGTAAAGGTTAAGCCAATATTAGTTTTCAATTGTTTATTTACTTAGTTATTTGCTTATTTGCTTAACCTTATAAAGTAAAGTTAAAGTTTGGTATCGGTGATTAAATATTGATATTGTTAATTGGATGGAGGAAGGGAAATTTAATTGCTTGATCGCCCGTTGGATGGGCTGTGTGTAATGATTGATATCTATATATATTAAGTTGTGTTTCTTTAAATAGGTGGATAGTCCAATTTTTAAGGAAGGTTCTGCCGAAATTTCGACAGAATCTAGAATAGTTTTACTTGTGAATAGGCCGCAGGATTTGTTTAGGATAATCCTTTATTATTTAGGAGGAAGTTTTAATTAATTCTTTCCTCTCCTCCCAATTTCATTTCATTGCAATCACTTTAGTTGGTTTATTAATTTGACAAGTTGGAATCGAAATTTAAGTCTTTTCCCATCTAGTGTAATAAATAATAAAAAATAGTATAATATCATCTACATTATGCATAGTTACATTGCTACATAATGCTATAATTGTCTATTTATTTGATTATCACTTATTTAATTCATTACTTTTCTACTTATTGTATGTATGTTTATATTTGAATATTAGCATAACAATGTTTGTTTATTTAATGTGCTTGCATTTAATTGCAATGTTTGATTAGATGTGTTGTGACATTGCTATATTTAATGTGCTTGCATTTAATTGCAATGTTTGATTAGATGTGTTGTGACATTGCTATGCCTTGTTTGTGTGGAATTGGGATGAAGTGGGTCACCATGGGTTTGTGACATATTTTTCATAATATTTTCATATGAAAAAAATTAGCTGCACAAAATGTGCGATTTTGTGCTAGCAAGAGTGAAAGAATACCATTTCTTGATGTTGATTTGTTTTTGTTTGGATTCATATTTTAGGTAAACGAACATGGTGGGATTTAAAAATAGGTATCTAGTAATGGAAATTTTCTTGGATCCAACTAGAGACCCCATGAGTGATGATCCCATCATAATTACGCAGTTTAATGTCTCAAAAGCAATTAAAGAAAGTATTCTGGAAAACTATGGTGAGTGTGGTTTGGCTTCATCAATTGGATCTTTTCAAGGTGAGTAACTCGTTGCTTATTATGGTTGTTTTTGTTGTTGATCATATGTAAAATCACTTTCATCTTCTATGAAATGCTGATTCCCTTAATTGTCTTTCTAAATCTGGTGTATTTGCAGTCAAGTATGTGAATCCCAGTACAAAGCTAGTTATCATCAGGTCCGCACGGGAGGACTACCAAAAGGTTTGGTCAGCAATTACCATGGTTAGGAGAATTGGAAATTGTCCAGTGCTATTCAACTTACTGGACCTAAGTGGTAAGTTAAATAACTAATGACAGTGGCTAAAAAGGGGAAAAGCAAGAACTAAAAGCATTATCTCATTAAAAGCATAATGTGTGAAGATTTTGTTATTGATGTTATTATTGATTTTGTCAAGTTAATAGAAATAATATGTGAAGATGAAGCTTTAAAACTCCTTTATTATGCTGGATTTTCCTAAGTAAAAGCTTAAATTAGCTCAAATTTTTTTGGCAACTTATTCATAAGAGAATTTATTTGTTTTATTCTGCAATTTGTACAATGTTTGCAAGCAGCATGATATGACAGGAAAAGTTTTTTGCATGTGAATAGTAAGATGTGCTGTTAATGTACAATTTTGGATTGTGTTCATTGTTACTAAGTAGCGATAACAATGATATAATGCGAATGCCTCGCGTCAATTCACTTGAAATTCTCATACAGGATATTCTGCTTTTACACTAGCTTCTTATTAAACCCAGAGACCAGGTTTTGTTTATGAAACCTTTATCAACAACAAATTCCCTGAACAATTTTTTTACTTGATTTTCTCGAAGTGGTTTAATCTGTACGTTGAGAGCAGTTTGCACCATTGTTAACATTGAATTATTATACCTTTATTTCCATAGTATCATGCATAATGTCATTGAACAATGAAAATATATTGGTGTTAATTTTAGTCTAATTTTAAATTCTGCACTCATTGTACTTTGTTTGTTTTGATTGTTCTTTCATGCTAGGAAGCATCAAGGCGTGCAAAACTGCTGCCTTGAAGTATGATGAATTGAAATTTGAACAGTACAAGCTTGCAGCTGGGGATCGCCTTTCGGCTGAGGTTACTCAGAGCATGAAAAATTGTCTGGAAAAGATCAAGATTTTGGAGCACTGAGTATTGCACATATAGCCTGCACTTTGGTGATAATCTTTTGACGTCGATCTTCTTAGGGAATTCTTCCAAATTAACATTGTTTTCACTAAAGTAAAAACACCATATCTTTTTTAACCCCTGTTGGATGAATTGATAAAGGTTCTTTCAATGGTGGAAAAAACAATATGTGTACAACTATATTAAGAAAATTTAAATTTAAATTTGAAGCCATGGGGATTTTTTTTTTACGTGACGAGATCACAAGATTCATTTTTTTCCAAAGCTTCTCTTTCTCCTCATGGGAAATGGTATCTTGCAATTTAACTTCTTATAGATTTTATATTTTGAAGTTGGTTTGGCTGTTCTTTATGGAAGAGGAAAATGGGATTCTTAAGGATTTGTTCATGGGTGGAAGTGAGCTGGTTAGAGTGAGGACCGAGTTGGACCAGTTGGTGATGGTAGATAGAAGAAGAAAGTCGAGAGTTAAGAACTTGTGCATCTAGAATTTTAATTCTACAATAATTTACATAAAATATTATTGTTTGAGAGATTATAAATATTGAAATGTAAATGTAAATGAGATTATATAACTTTGGTTGATTGAACAAATAAAGTGAAACTTTTCATTTTTCTGCAAATTCTCAAGAGATTTCACATTAAAAAAAATATATGAAAAATTGTTATATTAATCTTGACCTCTCAAGTAGTTTATTTTCTAATTATGTTAGTTAAAATTTTATTTAATGTGACTTCTTATTATAAGTTCTAAATTAGGTATTCTCAAAAAAATAAAATCTAAATTAGGAAGAGTTTTTTAAAATAAATCAAATTAGAAATTTTATACAAACATGGGATGAAGTAATTGCTTTTAATATTTGATATAACAAGATTTATTCCATCAATATATATTTATTTAATTTACATCCTCCCAGCAAAACATATCTTATTACATCACAGCCACACGGAAAAACCCAACCCTCTTTCCTACAGACACAGAAGCAGAAGATCCTCTCCTACAGACACCACACGGGAAAACCCAACCCTCTCTCCTACAGACACAGAAGCACAAGATCCTCTCCTACAGACATAGAAGCACAAGATCTAACTATACATGTATTCTAATCAGAACCAGAAATTTCAATGGCCCTTACATTAGAGATCCTATCACCACCTTCCTTAGGAACAGTAACAATAAGAACTCCGTTCACCATAGAAGCACTAACCTTATCCCTTTGAGCATTATCAGGCAGCTTAAACTTGCTCATGAACTTACCACTCTCTGTACTTATTTGAAGAATATTGTTATCGTCAATGTAAACCAACACATCCTCATTGTTGGACCCTCCAAACACACCCCTAAACACATGGGCTCTTGGGGTTTCTCTCCAATCCACCTGGGTTTCAAGGGAAGAGAAAACTGAGGGGAAGTGAGCGGAAAGTAAAGAAGGGAAAGGAAAGTTTTGAAATGGATCTAGTAAAGGGGAGAAGCCTTCTAGGTCCCAGAAGTCTGGAGAGGTACGATTGGCGATTGTACCTCTTTGGTCACTTACAGGGACGATTGACATTGGAATTGAAGAAGAAGAAGAGACAAATGAAATGAAGTTGAGGAGTGGAGTATGTGAAAATGGGAAAGTAGATAAAGAAGAATGGAGTGTGCTGTTGGGTGGGCTCTCAAATTGTTGTAGACAAATGAAATGAAGCTGAGGCGTGGCGTATGTGAAAATGGGAAAGTAGAGAAAGAAGAAGAGGAAAGAAGGATAGAGTTAGTTTTCTTGCACCTTCTGGAGTGTGCTGTTGGGTGGGCTCTCAAATTGTTGTAGACAAATGAAATGAAGCTGAGGCGTGGCGTATGTGAAAATGGGAAAGTAGAGAAAGAAGAAGAGGAAAGAAGGATAGAGTTAGTTTTCTTGCACCTTCTGGAGTGTGCTGTTGGGTGGGCTCTCAAATAGTTGTAGGCTTATGGGCCTTAGCTGACTGAACGGCGTCGTTTTTACAGACTTCAATTTTAATAAAAAAAATAAAAAACCCTAAACCTTGTTTTAGTGTAGTCTGGGAACGCAACTAGCTGTTTTGTGTTTTGGTGTAGTCTGGGAATACATCTAGCTGTTTTATCTGTTTGGAGGTTAAGTAGGTTGTGCTGAAGTTTTAGTTTTTTTTAGTTCTCTAAGTATTTTTCACGATAGCTAGGAAAACCAATTAAACCATCCTGATTGGTTGATGTAAACTTTTATCTATATATCACTTTATTACTTAAAATAGTAATATATCACTTTGGATTGGAGTGATTGGTCGGACCAATTAAATCACAAATATTTATTAATTTGACTAAATTTGATTAAAAGAATTAAATGAGAAATGAAATTAATTTCAGTCGTTCCAAGATTACCCATATAAACTCACTCAATTTATAAGTATTTTTTCCACGTATTGAATATTTAACCTTAATATATTATGGTAGATATATATTTTCTTTTCTTCTTAAATAGTGAGCTAAATTTTACAATTATAGGGATGGATTGAAAAAAATATGTGTTGATCCCTAAATATTATTGTTAGCAATAGGGTATTTTTATATTGGAGAGTGACGTTTGAGCATATGAAGAACTTTTTACCTTATACAAATAAATAACAAAATGATTACTTTTAAATTAGGGTATAATTTATTTTTAAATTTAGACATCAAATCAAAGTCTATTTTGTAAGAAAATTTTAAATTATTTATTTATAATTTTTGAATTTTTATTTTTATTTACGATGAATTTATTTTCAAACAAAAAGTCTTGGTAATTATTTTATAAATCTATATTATATATAAATGTGGAAATAAGGAGAAATAATGAGATTTTCTATAATAGCTTTAAATTGATTTTCCATTTAGTTAGATTTTTTTTATGCATTTTAATTGCAGAAACTATTTATCTTTTTAAGTGTATTTTTTATTGCCTTTTAATTGGAGAAAATAGATTCCATTTATCTTTTTGAATATCCTTTTAATTAGATTTTTTTATATATTTTAATCGGAGAAAATATGTGTAATATTTTTTGCTTATTTGATTTGATATTATTATTGTCCAATAATTTTTATAGTTAATAGATTTTGATGTTCTTAATTATAGGTGATATTGCTTTTTAGAAGATAAATTAAAAATCTTAATTCCGGAATTGAAAATGAAATTTAAATTCTTTAAATAATTATGTTATAAATTTTTTTAAATATGGGTAAACACTTTACTATTAAACTCTATTAGTTAAATATAATGAAATTAAAATAAAAAATTTTAAATATATTATTTCTCTTTGATTTTTTTAGATGATGGTGTACATTTATTTGGATTTATACATATTGTATTTGGAGACTAATATCCAAATAAAAAGTTTTCCTTTTTTAAAAAAATGAAATCTTATTTTTTAAAAATACACTATAAAGTGTGAATTTAGAAAAAATGGCTTTATTTGGCAACATTTAGTTTGAATTAATGAAAAATGGCTATTTGGCATATTTGCTATCATTTTTATTTTTTTCTATATTAAAGATGAAATGATGAAGAAATTCAAGAGATCTCTTTTTATTAAATATTTTATTCTTTTTTTTTTTTGAATTTTTGAAATATAAATTATTTTTTTATGATTTAATTGGATGTATTTTTTTAAAAAATAATCCTTACAATAAATATGAAGATAATTAGATCTTTGAAATTTTAATTTTTTTTAAATAAATATATAGGACATTGAATTTTTTAAAATTTAATACCATATATATCTATCTATAAATTTGACGGAGGATCTTCTATTACCTATGTTATTGTTTGCATATTGATTTCTAAGTTACATATTAATATTTATTTATGTCATTTTGAATTCTTTTTTAGCAAAGAAAAAATCTTGAAACAATTGGAATAAAATAGTTGCATGTTAAATAGAAAAGTTAGATACTATAAAATTTTCTTTAGTTACCTTTTAATATTTTTTAATTTAATGAGTAATAATATTTTTTTCGACGAGTTTGATTTTTTATCATTCTTTTTGAAATAGTAATCTTTTTTTATTTTTATAAAATATATTAATTAAAAGGAAGAAAAATACTTTATATCATTTATTTTAAATGAGTAAAAATACATATTAATTTTTGTTGTTTTAATCAAAATAAATAGTAATGTAATTTAATAATAAAATTTATTTAAACAACATATTTATATAAACACCAATGCGCTCAGAATTACGAGTACAATATTAAATATCAGTTATTATATTTAAAATAGATATTCGACTTAAATCAAACTCAAAAGAAAATTTAAATTAAAGAAATGAAAATCTTCTAAGCACTTATGCTCCATTAACTCAAGTTGGATGACTTATAAAAAAAAAAAAAATACAAACTAATTAATTTAGATAATGATTATTAATATAATATTTTCATATTGTAGCGGATAAATTAAAAGTTCTATTTTTTAGAGTTTAAAGAAAAAAGAAAAATGTTATTTTAAAGAGAGAAGTAGAAATGTTATTTTTTTTTTTTCAATTAGATATTAAAGTGCAAAACATTTAAAACAAATCATTGTATAAATAAAGTGCAATATAAATATATCATTGTATTTATTTTAAAATAAATAAGAACTTCAACTTTAATATTATATAAATAAAAAATTAAACTTGTATCGCACGTCATAAAAGAACATGTAATATAATAAAAAGCCACTGATGCCCACAAAATATCATTGTTTGAATTAACAAATTAAAATTGTGATAAACTATATCAATATAATTACAAAGCAATAAACTAAAAAATGACCATATTCAAAAACATCTGAAATTTAGCATTCAAAATTCCAATTTGATTTTGATTTACAATAATTAGGTACAATCATGGAAAGTTTGAATAATTAATAAAATAAAAAGAATAATTAAAAATAATAAAAAACAAATAACAAGTTTTAAAATTGAAAAAATAAAACTAAAAAAATAATTAACTAAGTAGAATTAAGTTATGAATAGTCTATATTGTTAACAAAGTTTAATTGAGTTTGTGGGTATGGTGAGTTGTTTGAGAATAATAATATAATGATATTATTATTGTTATTATAACGATGACATAATCATGAAGACAACTCTGATAAGTAAAAGGTGAATTATCACCGTCTTATACAGTGATGTTTTCATATGTCACCAAAGATTTAAGGCGTGATATATAAATTTGATTATGAAATTTACACATTTAACCTTGTACCAATTTATTGAAACCTATCATGCTCCAAGTTATATTTTTTTTAATATCAAATTTACACCTTGCCATGTTGGCAAAACATGCGTGAAGGTCACACACTCAAGGTTGAGTGACAGCTTTAAAGTGTTGCCAATATAGACTTTTTCTTCCTCTTCGTATCTAGCATCAAACAAAACAAAACATTTCTTCTTAGCATTTTATCAAACAGAAGATGATCATTTGCAAAAACAAGATCAAAAGATAAAATTTTGCTCAAAAACTAAAATAAAAAAATTTCATAACATGAGCTTGTTCTGTTCATATCAGGTGCTACTACTATTATTGTCACGACACTTCGATTCAGGTTCAAACTGTTATTGGTGTTACTCCTATTCTTAATTTTCTTATGGGTTATAATTTATAACCCTAACCTTTTGATATCTTTTGGGTTGAATTTCGAGTCAGATTTGCAAAGCTTTATTTTTTTTACATGGTGAAACCAGTATATCAATAAGATCTTAAAAATATAATTGAGTGTGTAGTGGCATCTAAGAAAGGGAATCAATTGTTACTGAAGAAATAGCAAGCATTAAAGAGAGAAACTCACCTTCATCAAATGATGAGAAAGATCATTTTAGTGACATAAATTCTTCGTCATCGGTGAATGAGATAGGAATAAAGATCAATTTGGTCCAAGAACTTATTTAGCAGGATCAAAAAGATCAAATTTGATCTTTTGGACCAATTTAACCGTTAAACTTATATAAAATGATTAAAAAAATCCGATTTCACTTTTTAGGCTAATTTAACCCTTGAACTTATTTTATTTTTATAAATTAATAATTGATTTAATTTAATATGATTGACTTTTTATCCCTTTTTATCCTACGCTAAGAACATTCAGATCAAACTTTTTCAACACTTACGAATATAAATTTAAAATTCATAAAAACATCATTTCTTATAATATAATAAATTTATAAACATGCATTATAAATTTAATTTATTAAACATAAAAAATGCATTGATTTCATAAGTGATAACCAAGTAATAGAAGTTAATTTATAATATTCAAATTAACACATATTTATAAAATCAAAACCATAAATCAAGATAAACATAGAAATAATATACTTCATATATCATTTTTTCATATTTTATAATTAATTAATTTTTAATAAATTAGTCAGCTCGATCTCAACTACAGTTTTAATAAATATCTATATAATAATTTTCATATTGTAAGTACAATAAAAAAGATTAAATAGAATCAAACTGTTAAATATGATTTTTTTTAATCACTTTAATTAAATTTAGGGGTTAAATTGATCTAAAAAGTGAAATTGAATCTTTTTAATAATTTTATATAAGTTTAAGAGTTAAATTGGCCTGAAAGATCAAATCCGATCCTTTTGATTCTGGTGAACAAATTTAGGGATCAGATTGGCTTTTATTCGATGAAGATATTTTCTTAAAAAAAAAAAAGAGGAAAAAAGAGAGAAAGAGATGGTCCAAATAAGGAAGAAGAAAAGAGCAAAGAAACGCAGATGAGATTGGTTCTAGAAATAAAATAAAGAAAGAAAAATAAAAAATAGAAGAAATATGAGTTGGAAGTTGACTTGTACCACGTGTCATAAGTTGTTTGCCATGTAGGTGCATTTGAAGACCATGCAAATTTAATAGATTGGCTAAATGCAGATTTGATATTTTTTTTAATACAATTTCGCTGAGCATAATAGTTCTCATGCAAATTTAAGAGTGCCATAAGGTTAAATTTATGCATTAAGCTAAAGATTTCATAATGATGATTGAATATATAAATTCATCCCCAAAATATTGCAATTTCAATTTTAAGACATCCCAAATTTTGTAAATCACATATTATGCACTCAAATTATAAATTTTGGTAATATTACATACATCTCCGTAATCACAATAATAATTTTTCTGGTTTTTGAATTTTATATACAAAATATTGATTTGATGTATAGTTATTATAATTCTCAAAACAATAATTTTTATATTTCAATTATTTAATAAGTATTTAATTAAACTAATTTTATAAATTAAAGTGTTTGATAAGTGTAATTTAAATCGAAATGATACGAAAGTTAAAAAAAAAAGATAAAAAAATTATACGGTTCCGATCCGATTCTAATTCATCTATACTATAGTTCAGTTTAAGTTCAACATGAACCAATCCCTGTGCCTACAAACAATAAGGTATTTTGAAATACTTCTTCTCTCTCTCTCTCTCTCTCTTTCAATCTTATACGGGCAGTCAAACACGAGCCAATGGGAGTTGCAAATATCGGCTACACTACCAACCTACGAGGGGAGCCAGCATACGGTGGCTATGTTGTTTGATAGACACAGTGGAACAATAAACCTTAATTAAGATTGAGCCAAATTAATGCATAAATATACCCATAATGGTATGGAAAAAACTTTCTAACACTTTAAACTTTTTAAACTTTGCGAGTCACCTATTATGCTCCTAAAATTACGAATTTTACTAATATTATATTCCTTTTTATATTGTTAATAATATTTTTTTAGTGTTTTTGACATTTATGTGTAAGATATTTATTTAATTTGTGGTTAGTATAATCTTTAAAATATTTTTTAGTGTTTTTGACATTTATGTGTAAGATATTTATTTAATTTGTGGTTAGTATAATCTTTAAAATAATAATTTTCACATTTTTCAACTATCTAATAAGTATTTAGTGAGCTAATTTTAGAAGTTTAAGTATTCAATAGAATAATTTTTGCATATCGAAGCATCTAATTGGTGTAATTTTATAAATTAAAGTGTTCAATAGATTAACGTAAAAATTGAAAGTAACGCAAAGTTTTTTATGTAAAGTTTATGGATAAATTTATGCCCATTAAGATAGAGACAAAATTAAAGTCTGAATTCAATTAATTTAATTATATATACTGAGACAATTTAATTATAACAACAAAAGAAAAACGTAATTAATGCATTTTCACATTGAAAAAAAATGCATAAACTGAAAAGTATAAATAGTTAGCAAATCAATTAAAACATGAGTATCTTACAATAACATAATATATAATATATATATAATATATAATATATATATATATATATTATATATATATATATATATAATATTTTAAAAAAAATTTTTGATTTACAGTAGAGAAGCTAGAGGCTCGTTGTAATCTTGACAATGACCAAGAGACGAAAGTTTAGAATCTAAAAGAATGAGCCAAATACTATTAAAAATTAGTATATATAATATTTAAAAAATTTTTGATTTACAGTAGAGAAGCTTAGAGGCTCGTTGTTATCTTGACATGACCAGAGACGAAGTTAGAATCTAAAAGAATGAGCCAAATACTATAAAAATTAGTTAAAAGAATGAAAACCTTACGAAGGATTAGATGGTTGAAATGTTTGATTGGGAAGAGTTGGAAGCCGAGCATTAAAAGAGAAGATTTGAGGGAGAATAAGACAGAAAGAGTTGCAAGAGAAATTGTTTTATCAGTTTAATCCATCACTTAGATAATAGATTAACTCATGTTCATCTATTATCAATTAATAAATTGCTATACACAACCATATGAAGACATTTTACATGACTATTATTATTGCATTCATAGCCATTTTTTGGTTTTTGCAACTGTAATCGTGGTTCGAAACCGGTGGGAATCAAAACCATATGGAATTGAAATCGGTACGAATTGAAATCGATCCGAACCAAAATCGAAATCTGGAGCCTGTGGTCCGATTTCAGTTCTAAGAACCGGTCGGAACCAGCAGTTTTTCCAACCGGTTAGAACTGGCGGTTTTAGAATTTTTTTTTTTCAAAAATTTTTGTGAAATCTCTAAATTAATCATCCTAAAAACTATATAATAGCTAATTTTAAGGATATTTGTGAAAATTTGATTTTTGGATTTATTATAAATACACATTATTTCCATTTATCCTCATACAAAATTATTTTTCTCTATTACTCTCTACTGGTCACTCTTCAATCTTTCTAAGCTCTCCCATTTATAATTGTCCAAATTATTATCAAATAATTTCTCCAAAGTCTAATATCTAATTATTTTCCAAGTCTTCTTTCAAAAAAAAAAAGGTTCAAGCCTTTTCTTTAATTTCTTTTCTTAAAGTTTTTTTTTAATTATATCATAAATATTTAAATTTTCAATTTTCAATAAAAAATCTAATTTTTTATTTTATAATTATGCGATTCGCTGGAAAATCGATTGGAAAACGGGCGGAAACTATCAGTTTTGAAACTATTAAGGAATCGTAACCGGAATTATAACTATTCAGTTCTAAACTATATTCAGAAGTGTCAATTTTCGATTCGATTTCAGTTCCATATTTTTTAAACCGAAACCGGTGATTCCGAAAGCGTGGCAACTCCTAACATTTTCTAATGATAATGTGTCACGTGATAAACTAGATTCACCTAACATTTTCTAAAAATATGAAGGCCTTAACGTACTCTTCCAAGTTCCAATTATATGTCAATGATAATGTAAAGAATACATGTAAATATGTAATTTATTTATAAGGATACTTTTGTAAATACATAGCTTTGATGTTATAGCTACTGTATATGCAATCACAATAACAATTAATGAAGCAACGTGTTGAATATTTTCCAAAACCGCTCTCTCACGTGTCAGGCCTGAGTGACAAAATTACCCTACGTTTGCGACTTGTTACAGTATCACTCCAAATCCACTTTTGCCTTTCGAGCACCCTGACTCAGTAACTTAGATATATTATTACCTTAATTAAGAAATTAGCTACGGTTTTATAATAAAATAATACTAAAGTGGGTCCCACCTAACCAGCTTGGATTAACTTAACCCAAGCCCCTCTAAAATCATCAAAACTCAGCGTTTTGAAGACCTGAGTTTCTCCTTTTCCAACGCTCTCTTCTCCTGACACTAATCAAATGTTTTATTCTTCTTTCTTATAAGCACAACATCATCAACCTTTGTCACAAATCATACAACAGCCTTACAGGTATGAGATACCACTCAATGGATATAAACTAGAATTAAAAACTAAAAGCTACATCTAACAATTGATCGTCTTCCAAGCAGCTGAAATTAGTGTTGCATAACATACCCATGTGACACACTTCAAATTATAACCAACAAAATAATTGCATCAATGACAAGAATCAAGATCCAATAATTTTATCAAATTCTGTTGATATACATCATCAACAACTGCCACGCTTAAAAAATTTTTAATAAATAATTTCTCTATTATCCAATATGGCAATCAAAAACCTTAGACCAAATATCATGGACTAAACAAAAAAGAAATTAGATTAAACCTCTTAATAGAATTGTCTGGAAAATTCCTCAAGCTCTCTCCTTCGTGAGAGTTATGCTTTCGCTTTTGCGGCTAGCGTTTCTTATTTTTAGGATTTCTGTCCCCTAATCATTAGGGTTTTATCACCTTTCGTTCCACCTTTTTTAACTTTTCCCATTATTCCTTCCCACCAATCCATCAACAAATCTCTTTCTTATTATTTTCACTTTTCCTAATCTTCTGTTGCTTGTGTAGGCTTTATCTTTGCTGAGGTGCCTTAATCCCCAAGCTTCAGACTTTTGAAAAGGGCTTTTGGTTCTGCAGTCTTAGATGGTGACAGAAATCACTGATGCTAAAACCCAAGGGGAGGCTGATGCAATTAAGCTACCTGAGGATCTTGTGGGTGAAGGAGAAGATAGGGGCAAGTTATGTCTAGCTGGGAAATTATGGACTGACAGAGGTTTCAATAAATTTACTCTCATGGAGACCATAACTCGTGTTTGGAAGGCGAAACATAATGTAACTACGCGCGAATGGAGGAAAGACATATTCCTTTTCCAGTTTACTCATTGGAGAGACATGCAAGCTGTCATAGAGAGTGAACCTTAGAATTTTGATAAACAACAGCTTGTTTTAAAGGAGGTGGTTAGTACGAAACAACCCTCAACGCTGGATTTTTCATTGGCTCCTTTTTGGATTCGAGCTTATGACCTTCCGATTAAGTGTATGAGCCTTCAGGTGGCGCAATTTATTGGGAATAAGATAGGGACCTTTCTGGAATATACTGATCTGTCTAAATAAGCTAAAAACACATATATAAGGTTTCGAGCTACTTTGGATTTAAAGAAACCTTTGCTATGGGGGATAACAATCAAGGCAGAGGGTAAGGAGTTGTGGGTTTCCCTTCGTTATGCAAGCCTACCCAATTTCTGTTACTTCTGCGATTATTGTGGTCACTCAATGAAGAGTTGTGACATGCACACTGATGGATCTTCTGACAATATGGAGAATCTTACGTATGGACGTGCGTCGCCTTTCAAAGGACCTTCCAGGCTGTCTAAAGACCCTTTGGACAACTCAAAAGCGAAACAAAAGTTGGGTTTATAAACCACAGAGGATTCGAAAATCCACTGAGTCTGTGACTAAGACAAATGGATTTCCAGAAAATCACAATGATACAGTTGTGGATCTTTCAAATACCGACGAGATCTTGCACCAACTAGAGGATATGCATGTGAACCGAAGGACCATCCCACGAACCATGTCTCTTGTATCTGATGACTCGCCTAGATTAGAGGAAGGTGAGACCCTCGATAGTAATAACTAGAATCGTAAACTTCCTATCCCATCACCTATTGACTGTAACAACAACTTGCTCATCCAAAAACCTGCCATTAATCCTCCTCCTTCTCTCCCGACCCTTATATCTATTCCTATATTTGAAGACGCATTACCTTTCTCCACTCACATATTATGCTCTAATATCCCTTTAACACCTTTATCACCACTTCCCTCCTCAAATTCTAAAAGTAATCTTTCCATAGCTCATCCACATTACCCGGCTCAAGCAACCAACTCAACCCCACAGTCACCTATCCCACAGCTTAACCCGCCTACCCTTTCCCATCCTAACTCTAAATCCAAATCTTTATTGAAAAGAAAGGCGAGATTGTCTGAACAGGTGGCCCAGCAGGATAAGTTAGGCAGTGCAGGGAAGAGGAAGGAGAGTGAAGTGATTATTTTTTTCCCAATAGATGGTGTTCCTATGGATAATGACTATTCTGCTAAAAAATCCAAATCAACTGAGATATCGACGGAGGCTGGCAGCCAGCCCCGCCGGAAGCCGTGAGTATTTTTTACTTGAATTGCAAGAGGCTTGGGAACCCCTATGCAATTCAAAAACTGAAGAAGCTCATCAAGCTTCAAGATCCCATTTTGGTTTTCCTTGCAGAAACAAAATTGACTGAGGCTGAAATTAGTAGAGTTTGTGATAAATGTGGTTTTAAGGTATCTATTGTTGTTTCTTGTGATAATTCAGTAGGGAGGAAAGGGGATATCTGTTTATTGTGGGCGGAGCATCCGCAAGTTCAGGTTTTTTCGTTATCTCACAATCATATTGATGTCTTTATTACTAATACTTGGCAGTTTACAGGTGTGTGTTATTGGCCGGAAGACTGTAACAAGCACAAAACATAGTCTCTTCTTCGCGATCTTAAAATGCGTCTCAGTTGCCATGGCTAGTTGGTGGTGATTTCAATGAAATACTCTAAAATCATGAAAAAGCATGCGGTTTACCGAAAGATTAAAGCAAGTTGGAAGATTTTCACTCAGTGCTTAATGATTGTGAACTAAAGGATTTGGGCTTTAATGGTTTCGCATTTACATGGAGCAATGGTAGAACTGGTAATCAGAATATTTTAAAACGGTTAGACCGTTTTGTGGCGTTGCCATCTTCGATACAGATGTTTCTTAATTTTTCGGTGTCACATCTCCTTAGACAAAGATCTGATCATTGCCCTATTACTCTGTCTTTGGAAAAACCTAGGAAAGGTCATCGACACAAGGCTCACCCTATCAGATTTGAATTCATGTGGCTTAGAGATTCTGGTTGTGTGGAGACGGTAAAAGATGCATGGGATGAGTCAGTGGGGGACAGCTTGGAAGTCAGATTTAACAAGGGTGCTAAGGCGCTTAAGAGATGGGAACGATGTCACTTTGGTCATGTTACTCATCAAATCCAAAGTATGAGAAGTTGTTATTTAGTTTGCGATAACAAACTCAGTTTGAGGCTTATGTTTTGCTTCAGAGAGATGTGGAGGCATATCATTAGGCCCAGGAGCTTTGGATGGAGGCATTTGCTTAATACCTAATAAAATTTCATCCTTATGATTCAAGATAGCATTCATCTTAGAAGTTACCTTTCTCTCCACTGCAGTTAAAGCTTCGTCTAGAACTGATGGACCTAGAGAAGTAAAAAGCGAACAGAAATACGATGTTATAACCCTTGCAATATCTCCCTCGTCCCTAAACTGCATGCTCGAGTCATCCGATATTTGATCAATATTATTCTTTCTCTAACGAGAGTTTGCTTTTTAATGAAAGAAACCAGTGTTACGGTCCCCCTCCTGCAGCCATTTAATTCTTGATGCTATATGGGTTTTTTTTTTATTATGGCTTGTATTTCTACTGTCTCTTATTCTATTTTGATTAACGGTGAGCCTAAGGAGACTTTCCTCCCATAAAGAGGTCTCTATCAAAGTGATCCTTTGTCACCATACTTGTTTCTCTTTTGTGCAGAGGTTTTCTCTAGCTTACTCAGAAAGGCGAAAGATAATCACCATCTACATGGCATTAAAATTAGTAGAACTGCTCCTCCTATATCACATTTGTTCTTTAAGGATGATAGTATTATCTTCAGTGGACTACCAGGCAATAGGCTATGAAGATTAAGGAGATCATAAGTTGTTATGGACTTGCATCAGGCTAAAGTATCATTTTCGATAAATCTGAAATCTACTTTAGTCCTAACATCAATACAAGTGCCCATGAGACTATTAGTAACTGTTTGGGGGTTCGCCAAATTGACCACCATAAGAAGTATCTTGGCCTTCTGGCTTTTGTTAGGAGAAAAAAGAAAGAAATGTTTAGATATTTAGTTGATAGAGTTGTGAAAAAACTGAATGGATGGAAGGAAAAATCCTTTCTCGAGCTGGTAAGGAAGTGCTTCTTAAGTCAATCATTCAGGCCATACCCACTTATGCTATAAGCTGTTTCTTGATTCCCATGGATATCTGTAATCAAATTGAGGGCATGATGGCTAAATCTTGGTGGGGACAAAAGAAGGACGAGCGAAAATTCATTAGTCGAGTTGGTCTAGCCTACATCGTTCTAAGAAACAAGGAGGAGTGGGTTTTAGGAATTTTCGGGCCTTTAATCTTGGATGCTATTAAAACAGTGTTGGAGACTTGCTTCTAATGAATCTTCATTGCTGTCACAAATTTTGAAGGCAAGATATTACCCTCATGGTTCGTTCATGTCTACAGGACCTATATACAAGCCAAGCTTTACATGGCAGAGTTTTATGAAAGCACGTCATCTCATTGATCAAGGTTCCAGGGTAATGGCACGCGAGTTCGTGTTTGGGGTGATAAATGGATTTCATTGCTGCCTTATCAGAAAGTAATCTCAAAACCCTTAACTTTGTAACTAGATGCTTTATGTTTCTGAGTTGATTGATCATGAGACTAGTTGTTGGCGGTAAGACGTGATCTATTCTTTTTCCTCTCCTATGGAAGCTACTGTTATTCTGAAAATCCCTATCAACGCTCAGAGACCGTGATATTCTAGTTTGAAATTTTTCTAAAAATAGATTCTTCTCTGTAGGTCGGCCTATTACTTGGCGCTATAATCCCAATCTGGAAACATTCCATCTTCCTTTATAGGAACTCAGAACGGTCTCTTGAAGTGGCTATGGAAGCAGCAGCTGCCCCCTTAAGGTAAAACATTTTCATCATTGTCTTCTCTCCAACGCGCTCCCGATGAAACTCATGCTATGTAGACAAGCGATTATTTCGGATCCCATTTGCAATAACTGTGGCGAGGCAGCAGAATCTTTGGACCATATTTTCTTGCATTACCCAGTTGCAGTTAGAGTTTGGCATTTATCACCTTTGCGCTATTATACTACAGTGACTCCTTTATCCTAGATAGACTAGTTTCTTCAGAAACGAGAGAATCTTTCTCCCGAACAGATACATATGATTCTTATGATTGCCTGGGCTTTGTGGCGATCCAGAAACTTGGGGCTATATACGCTTAAAAAACTATCTAATGTCCAAATTTTGCACTATGCATCCAGTTTGCTTCATGATTTTCTAGATGTGCAGGTTCGTGATAGTCAGAGTGTTAATGTTCAACACGCCCCAGCTCAAGTCTCAGGGTGGCAAGCCCCAACTTTTGGTTTTATCAAGATGAATACAGATGCGGGTATTAAGGACAAATGATGGCTGCTGCGGCTAGATGCTCCAATATTATTCTCTCTTTAGCTTAAGCGGAAGTACAGGCTGTGATTTACGGAATGGAAATGGCCTTACGTTGAGCTTCACTAATTTACATTTTGAGACAGACTACATGAAGATAATTTATGGCCTAAGAATTATCCTTGTTCCAGCTAATGATTTTGGGACTCGTCTACTGAAGTTGAAGGGCTTAGTATCTCAGTTCCCCCAGTTCTCTTTTTAGTCATGTTAACAGGAAAAGCAACTGTGTTGGCATTCTATAGCAAAAGATGCTCACTCTCAATTAGAAGAGGAGCTCATATGGGTGGAGGATGTTCCACCTCAATGTTCTTCCCTTATACTGGCTGACTCTTTGCTTCGATTTAATATATTATTTTCCTTCAAAAAAATAGAAAAGATATTAAATCTTAAAAATAAATACGAATAAAATTTCAGAAAACATACCAAGTACCAGAAACCCCACCAACAAGCCTGTTGATTCTATCACCAGTAACACACCCAGCTTCCATAACCTCTTCAGCAACCTCTAAATCAATAGCTTCCTTCTAAAAAACTAACACTTCAAAATCCTTCCTCCTAGTTGCTAGTGCAAAAACCAATCCTTCAATCCCACCTGTAGCAGAAAGAATTCACGATTTCCTTTGCTTCGACTGTGATTATGGTCCAATTAATGTAGAGAGGGAAAGTAAAATGATATAATAAATAAAAAATTGACGAATCTAAATCAAGAAATAAGGAACAACAGTTTGGAGTGGGTGAAGGGAGGAGAGAGATGGAGAAGGGAGGAGAGAAGGAGAAACTTAGGTCTTCAAAACGGTGAGTTTTGATGATTTTGGGGGCTTGGATTAAGTTAACTTAAGCTGGTCAGTGCGACTCACTTTATTATTATTATATTATAAAATCTTAGTTAATTTTGCAACTAAAGTGACAATATATCTAAGTTACTGAATCAGGGTGAGCGAGAGATGAAGGTGAGTTTAGAGTGATACTGAAACAGCCGCAAAAGTGGGAGTAATTTTGTAGCTCAGGCCCACATATAAAGTGCTTCACAAGTTATTTATTATTAATCACAAAAATATGAAAATAGCAATAGAAATGCTCAATAATTTCCAACCTCAATTGAAATAAAACATGACATCATTTTAGCATCCACCAAGAACAATAAAAAGAGATATATATATATTTTTTTTATCAACAATGGGTTGATTGAGGTGATTTGCGACCTCAATTCCTATAAGGAAGAGAAATCTTTGTACTCTACGGCTTGAGGGATTAAGCATCCTTTTTATTAAAAAAAAAAGAGAGAGAGAGAGAGATTTTTTTGTGGACAAACTAATATATCAACTTCATTAACCAAAAGAACAATGAGCCAAAAGCTCTGTTATTGTCTAGAGGTTTGAGCACTTTCTTAGCTCCACCGACTCGTGTTTGTGACGTGGTGTAGGTTGACCTGGTAGGTGGTCTATGGCCACGGTTAATTAGATAATTTGGATTATAGCCTCTATTGTATTAAAAAAACTTCATTAACCAAAAGAACAATGAGTCAAAACAAAAGGTTGAATGGATAGAGGCACTTCCTCCACCCAAATTTATTTAAATACAAAAATCTGTCTAAAAGAAGAAACATGTAGGAGAGAGATTTGTAGAAGAGAGAAGAAGGAAACGTATAAAAAAAAATTGCGTAAACCACAATTTGTAGTTTCATAAAACACATTTTTTATTTTTTAAACGGTTTTGAAAAAAGTTAAACATTTTTACAGTAAACATGTTTCATTTTTCTTTTTTTACCAAAATTAAACGGAAAACTAAAACCACAACAGTAACAAACCCCACCTAATTTGCAAGCTAAAAAAGATTATAAAGTTTTGAATTTGCTTTTATTGCCTAAATCAATAACAAACTAGAGGCTATAAACTAAAATTATAATATATAAAACTATGTATATATATGCCTGAATAAATTAAATATAATACCAAGTACAAGCTATAAATATGAGATGGAGGAAAAAATAACATAAATAATCCTCCATTTTTATGAAAATGAGATAAAAAACTCCAAAAAAAAAAAATCATCCTGACCCTCCCATGGGCATGTATAAAAATACATAATAAATAAAAAAAATATATGACTTAATTAATTTATAATCTTAATCTAAACTTACAACTGCTATTTCTAATCCTAATATCATTAGCAGTAGATAAACTGTCCACATCTAACTTGCACTTAACCAAGAACTTCACCTTCATCAGCTTCAACTTCCCAAGCTTCACTCTAACAGGCTGCTTAACCCTAAGGTTCAAAGGAATAACTCCATTCTCCTGTTGCTGCTGCTGAAGAGATGTAAATAGTCCATAAGCATCCTGTGTCTGCCCTTGCAAAGGGACATTAAGGACAGTTATATTCCTATGTCCTTGATAAAATTTGGGCAGTGACCCTTCACATAGTTTTGTCCCTAAATACAATACGCCTATATGGCTCCCTCCTTCATAATAAATACCAATTTTCTTGTTCGGGTTTTCTGCAGTAATTCTCACATCAAATGCAGCAGATAAGCTTGAATCTGTAGAAAGATTGAACTCAGTTATTTGCAATCCATCAATGGAATATTTCGGCAGTTTTGGCCGGAAAACTAAGTATAAGATTCCGGCTATGATTCCGACTATGACTATGATAAGCAAGATTAGACTAAGTGTCCAACACAAGCATCTGCAGAAACAGCTTCTTCTTTTCTTGGGTGGTTTTGAGTGGATGACCGGAAGAGTACGTTGAAACGGCGGATATCGGTTCTCTTCCACCGCAGGATCGCCTTTATCAGACTTTGAAGCATTTCTAGGCATTAATGGAGCTGTAGGCGGTTGTGGCGCTTCTACATCTTGAGTGACTGGATGGATTCTTTGTTGATCTGCCATTGCTAGTTGATATTAAGCTTCTTTTTCTTCCTCTTTATGGATATGGGTATATAGTTTTCCTCTTTAGATAGTATTTGATGAAGGTTTTATAAGGAGATAAGCTGTAATTTCATAGAAGGAGGATTGATTAGGTCACATGTTATATGAGTTTGAAGCTTCCTTTCTTTGACTTCTTACAGAGTTTACACATTGCATATAATATAAGTAGGTATGTCTTTTTCTTAGCAAGTTTTAAAATGTGGGAGTTCTATCACATGACTTTCTTGCAAAAACAAAATTCAATAACGCGGTTGTATTGTATGTAATTAAAATATTAGTGAGTGCAAAAAAATCTTTAACCTCTAGGACAGGAAGAGATCAAACTTCTTGATTACATATAAAAATAATAATAACCTAAATTTATTATCAGTGTGCGCATTCTTTTCAATTAAGTTAATGGTTTGGAGTATATTTTTATCCAATTTGGATCCCGCTAAAATTAAATATTTTTGTTGGACATTTCATGTGCATTGGAGATTTGCTAGATCCATGTGGAGAGGTATTTGCATGAACCGGAGGTGAAGGGTAGGAATTATATCTGTCCGTTAGTTGGACTGGACACCATCCCGATATAATATATATATGAAGAAGATCAAACTTCTTAGATCTAGCATATAAAAATAATAAAACTTCTAAATTTATTATCGAGTGTGTGGCCGGCATTCTTTTGCAAATTAAGTTAATTGGTTTGGAGTATATTTTTTATTCCAAATTTGGATCCCGCTAAAAATTAAATATTTTTTGTTGGACATTTAATGTGCATTGGAGATTTTTGCTAGATCCATGTGGAGAGGGTAATTTGGCATGAACGGGGTGAAGGGTCAGGAAATTATATCTGTGCGGCGTTTAGTTGGACTGGACACCATCGCCGATATATATATATATTATATATTATATTATATATATATTATTTTCAATTGGCTCTCTAGGTGGAATCAAGTAATAAAAAAAAGTGAAATAAACCAAAATAAATAATGCAAAATTTAAATATATATATATATTTTCAAATTGCTCTCTAGGGGAATCAAGTAATAAAAAAAAGTGAACAAAATAAACCAAAATAAAATAATGCAAATTTAAAAAACTGAAATTTTTAATGTGAAAATTGAATCCAATCTATTAGTTTATTTCAATCAATTTGGTTGAGATTTTAACTTTTCTTAAGACGAATTTAAACTTATTTATTGATTTAACGAAGACTTAATCAAATTTAAATTTTTTTTATTTAAATTAAAATCAAACTGAATATATTAATAAGTATGATTCAGTTGGTTTTATCGATTTAATCTAGACACAATATTCAATTTTTTCCTATTTTAAACGTAAAATAGACATAAATACTGAGTATAAAATATTAATGAACCATATGATATTATTGGGTACTACAAATAACAAAAGAAAAAGATATAAAGTTTTTTATTAATAAAGTTTAATTCAGGAAATATTGAAATAAATTTATAATAAATACTATAAAAATAGAACCTTTAGACTGCTGTCACAAAAGCATAAATAACAAGTTAACTTATTTCTTAAAGTAATGATAAAGTACATATATTTTAAACTTTAAATTTTGAGTGGAATAGTTAAAATGGATCTGTTGAGGCTCTAAATGATATAATTTTCTAAATATTTTATTTGTCCAATTTTAAATTATTCTATGATTTTCAAGCTCTGGTAGGTTTCACCACATGGAATATATATTTCTTTTCAATATATAATAATAGAATAACATAATAATTAAAGTCAACGATAGAAAACCTCATACGTGTTAATCTCCAAATATAAAATTCTTTTAAGCATTCAGAAGGAATCGTTTTATTCTTTTCGTGGACAATGACTGAGTGCGAATGAATTAATATGACGGGTGAACTTGACGCGGTTAAAAACAAAAAAGAAAGCTGAGAAGCTTCCATAGATTTATTCATACACACAAGCTTGAAAAAGTCTTGCAATGCTGCGTCAATATATAAATATAAATTAATATAAAGAAAAGGAAGCAACCTTTTCCCAACATATTACGCGGCCGTGTCATTATCATCGTCTAATTTACATATGTTGACTTTTCTTCTGTTGGCGCGCTACGCTACCTAAACTTCTTGACTTTGTAATTTGTATAGGAGTCAGGCGCAAATTTTTTTTAATTAATTTTTTTTTTGGAAAAAAAAATGCTTGGGAAGGACTAAAAATGGAAATCTTATTTTTTTAATTGCAAATTGTAAAATTAATAAATTCTTTTATTTAAAATATTTTTCTTTATTGCAGTAGTGTATATATAGGGGTTTAATTTGGTCAAATCAATTAGTACAAAAACAGTTAAAATTTTAATTTTTTAAAATATAAATCGAACCAAATTGTTTAATTTACATGTATTAAATCGAATAGATTTGATTTAACTTTTTTTTAAAATATTAGCTAATTTTTGGGTTTAATGTGATTTCATTTTTAATTTTTAGATTTTTTTTTAATTTTATCACATAATGAAAACCAAACTAATTATAAACTTAAAAAATATTTAATTTTTAAAATTATATTATAAAATTGACCTTGAACTTTAGTTAATTTTTTTTTATTGTGGCTCCATGAATTTTATGAGAATTCAATCATAAGCAGCACTTTAATAATAATTACACTGCTTGTCAAAATAAAATAACTTTTCGAGGTTTTACTTACGACTCTGTATTTTTACATTTCGTTTTACGATTAATATAATTATTAATGAAATGTGAAAATATAAGATTATATCTACAAAATTTAAAGAGCCATAAAATAATGTGAATCGTGAAATTATAATATCAAATTTATGCATTAGTCTGTAACCCTCCAATAAATTTATGTATGTGTATGAGTGTGTGAAGATTCAGAAGCCGCCTCATGTCATACATTACTTATATTATAAGTAATGTTTTCTTTCTTTTTTAATCCTAAAATAAGAAGGTTAGTTAGGTTTAGATAGATAAGGCATTAATCACACCTTTTAGTTATAAAAATTTAGTTTTTAAAACGCGGAATATATAATTTCACTAATTTTAATAAAAAAATTATGAAATCATGAACTTATACAATAATTTAAATATCATTTTTTCGTAATAATTTCACACATTGTCATATAATAACAACAGTATTTAAGATTTTTTGACTTTTATATGAAAATATTAATCTAATATATAGTTAATACATCTCTTGGAACAACAATTTTCACATTTTTTAATTATTAAATAAGTATTTTATATGTACAAATTATTAAATTGAAGTATTCAAAAAGTCAAATTAAAAATTGAGTGCCACAAAATTTATGTATTGAGCCGTTTTTAATTTTAAACGAAGAATTTTTAAACGAAAGAATTGACCTCCTTTTGTAATCAAAGTTTGGAGCTACCATTTGCTTACATTATTGACTTTGATACTTTTGTTGGCTTTCTTTTTCTTTTTCCTATAAAATATTTTCTCTGTTCCGTTAAATATGGGACGATTTTTTCTTATTTAGATGATACTTTTAGAAAATTATAGTATTAATTATTTTATTATAATTTTACCCTTGTCCAAATATATGCAATGCAGGTTGTTAAACTGTAATACTTAAAAATCTCAATTAAGTTAAATTCATTGAAAATTTATGTTAAATACAATAATTTAATAATTAATTGGCACCCTATAATTCGGATTTCAAATATTTCCCATATAATTTTCAAAAATTTCCAAATATTACCTAAAAAGTAGATGAAGTAAAAGTAATCCTGCCACCTTAATTTAAAAAACAGAATCGACGGAAAAGATTGAGGTTAGATGACCGGGTCAAAAAGTGAAAATAAAATGGCCAATTTAATGTCTTGAAATATAATTTTAAAACCTTACTTTTTTGTTTGAAGAATAAACCGACCTTACTTCCATCAACATTTTTTTTTAAAAAAAAATTATCATTATAATTTCATTATGTATAAATTATGAGTTCTTTTTATTTTTTTTGTCAATCATTTGTGTTCTGGTTAATCTTTTTACCTTTTGTAAAAGATATAAATGATAATTATAAATTTAATGTTTGAACTGTTCAAATTTTTCTGTTTGATATCTGATCGGAAAAATTTTACAATCAAGTGTTTAAACTACTTTAAAAAAATTTTTAATTACGTGTTTTACAGCCCATGTGGACAACCGAAATTGCTATTAGGACAGCTGGGACTCACGAAACAGTAGCAAATATGCTGAGTAGGCTGAAAATGAGTGAGCCACGTAGACTCATATGTACAACATACAATCTGGATGTCTAAAATTATTAACTCGCCATTTTTATCTCTATCTCCTTCAAGCAGCAAACTAAAAGAGTCGGAAAGTCTCAAACCGAGCTATTGTACAATCTTGTTTACATTACACCATCATCTTCCTTATACTCATTTGAAACCATCCAAAAAAATTTCACTTTAGAAATCCTCTTATTTGCTAAACAATTTTAGCCACGATATCAAAAGATACATTTGAAGTCTTCTCCCCCCATCTTAGGACTATTATACATTTAAGGCTTACCGGAAAATTTGAAAAATCGATTTTGACAGATTATTTGAAAAATCTATTAACGGTGATTTTTACGGGAGATGGGGATCTCTAAAGTTGACGACAATATCTATCGTATCATTTGAAAAATTGATTATGACAGATCTGATTTTAGATCTGAGATGAGAGTTTGTTGATGCTCTATTTACAAATCGATAGAGTTCCATTATTTAGATAATCACAGTCACTTATTGAAATAACCCGAATTTTTATTTTCAAAACTTTGGAATTTTCATTAAATCAAAAATCCGGATTTATGATAGTATGGGCTGTTAAGACCGAGTAATTATCCTGATTTTTAAGATCTGATGATGAGAGTTTGTTGATGCTGCTATTTACAAATCGATGAGTTCGGCATTATTTAGAATAATCAGCAGTCACTTACTTGAAATAACCCGAATTTTTTATTTTCAACTATTGGGAATTTTTTCATTAAATCAAAAATCCGGGATTTATGATAGTCATGGGCTGTTACAGATTTATGATAGTATGGGCTGTTAAGACCGAGTAATTCTAATTGAGCCCAAAGTTTTATGAATTGGGCCCAAGCCCAAAAACATATTATTCGGAATTTTCGTTTGGGTAACACTTAAAATTTCGATGAAAATGAAAATGGAACACTAATTGCTAATCGATTATAAATGTGTTTATATATAGGTGTTTGAATTGGGCCCAAGCCCAAAAACAGAACGTTCGGAAATTTCGATGAAATAAAATGGAACTCTACGATATAAACTAATTATCCTAAATTTATTGTTATTATTATTTGTTGTACTATTAGAACGTAACTTGAAGAGATGTTTTATGACCCAACTAAATAATTAAATAAATTAAATCGGACCTAAAAATCAAATTAACTGTGTCGAAACCACACGAATAATCGGAAAACCGAGCGAAAAACTCATAAACCAAATGAAATGAGACCAAATCACTGAATCGGACAGAACCGGTTCGAATCGAACCGGACCTGCCCATTTCTTTTCTTTTCTTTTTCTTTTCTTCCTTCTCCTTCTCCAGTTGCACGACCTCCTCCTCCTCCTCCCTCTCCTTCGATCTCCTTCCTCCGGTCACCAAATCCGGCAAATGAATACTCTAAAAACATCAACTCAACGCAAGGAAGAAGAATATGGCTTTGACTTGAACTGAAACTGCATCTATTTTGAAAGGAAAGAGCTTGAAGTTTTGGCACCATAGCGACACCTTTTTTCCGGCGATTCACGCCGTTTCAGGCAAGTCTAGAGCGCAAGGTGAGTACCAAATGACTCCTCTCTTCTTCCTCTTTCATTTGATGGCCTCCTCGTCATGGCGCTCTCGTGCAACTGCTATAGGCCGGAATCGGAAAACCCAAAATGGGTATCAACCGAACCGCGGTATCACCGAACCTTTCCGGTCAATTTCCAGCCAAATAGTTCATACCCACCTTGATTTGAATACATATTAGTGATCCTCTCATTGAAACGAATAAAATGAAATATTGTTTGTTAATTTTGGTAAAGATTTGACATTTCCGGCCACCGTGCACGGCGGCGGCGACGGCGGTCCGGCGACCGGCCGGCGAGACTTCAAGAGATAGAATGTTCTCCTCTTCGCGCGGATGACGGACATAACATCTGATTTTCAATCGGTACACTCAAAAGCTTAATTCGCAATTTTTGAATAAATCCCGAATTAATCGAATTAATTTAATTAAGTGAACTTAAATTATTAATTAATGAACTTAATTAAGTATTTAAGTAAATTAAATTAAATATTGTTAAATATATTTTAATGAATATTAATTATAACTATAAGGACGGTACTAAAATACAAATTCCTACCTAATAATAAATTTTAGGAATTTTATTAACAAATAAATAGTTATAGATCAATTAATTATAATGGACTATGTGAATTAAGTGACTGAATAAATGACGGTTATGGCGGACGAGATTAGTGGATATGAATTTGCCCGATGGATGGGCTGTGCGTGTGGATTTGTGAAAATTTGATAAATTGGGGTAGTACAGTTTAGAGAGGAAATGTTGGGGCGAAATTTTTAATAAAAGCACTTAATGAACTAATTTAAAATCTAGTTATATTTCCTTAATAAGTAAGTAAACGACTAAACCTTAAATTATTATGATTTATTATAGCATTAGGATATCATTTATTATTATTTATATACTAGAAATTTTATCTAAAGGTTATAAATTGAATAAATAAATAAATGGGAACTATATAT